AACACACACAACATAATCTACTTTTCATGATTCTCTGATTGATTTTCTATCATTCATCCATGGTCTCATTATACTTGTATGCTCTCTGTATAAGCAAAACTGGACATGATTTCACTCACTGGTTGACCCCCCAGTCGACCACCCAAGAGTGGTCTGACCTCCTTTTGTTTGTCTGCTTCTGCTGCTGCTGCTTTGATTATTAGTTCCCAAACAAATAATAAATGTTCAATTACATGTTCCTGAACAAATAAATAATGTTCGGGCCTGTGTTCCCGAATTTCGGTCATATGTTCAAGAATTCAGTCCCGAAAGAATGACGAACAGATTTTTTTTTTTTTAATTTGATTCAAGAAACTTACATTTACAAGGCCTATCTTCTCTGACCATCAAAGTTATGAATCTCTTCTAAGTTTTTATTGTTGTACTCCTCTCATTTTATGGAGTTGTAGTTGTCGAAAAACTTCCACTCACTATCATTGCCAAAAAAGTGCATATAATCAAATGGTTGCCATCGTTGTCGCCGAAATATTGCCGCCAAAAGGTTTTTAAGATTTTAAGGATGAGTAGGTTTTGAAGGTGGGATTTGGAAAAGATGGATGGAGGGTGATGGAGGTGGGTGCTCTCATAAATCTTAATTCATGATGTAGTAGGTATGTAGGTTTAATTGTAAGATGAGGTGTCCCAAAATTAATGATATGTTTTGCAGTAATTTTATTTGATGTTATTATTGTAATAAAAAAAGCTAAAAATTAGAGGTTCAGAATAATTTATGAGGTGCTAACACTGTTATTATTATTATTAATCAATCAATCAATATATTTTTTTTTCTCATCTCTCCTCTCACATTTCATACATTAATCAAAAAAAAATTACAAATCATCCAAAAAATTATTTTCAAAACCCATAACTAAATAAATTTTTTCTTTTCAAATCAGGATTTAAAAATATAAATCACAACTCCACACTTAAATCATAATTTTAAAACTAAGTTAAACAGAACCTTATTTAATTTGAACTCAAACCATTAATTTTTTATATTTTTTTATTTTTTTATTTTAAAAAAATCTGAAAAGTATTTGGGCTATATGTGTGGGCTCAAGAATGTAAGTGAGTAGAGCCTTAATTAAAGGCCAGGTTGGAGTTAAGGCAATTACTCATTTTGTTGTTATATTGAG